ATCCCAGGATAAGATTCTTCCCCCAGAGGGTGGTTGGGCACTGCCCAGGCTCCCCAGGGCAGTGGGCACAGCCCCAAGGCTGCCAGAGCTCCAGGAGAGTTTGGATGATCCTCTGGGGGCTGGGCCTGTGCAGGGCTGAGGGTTGGACTCCATGATCCTTGTTGGTCCCTCCCAGCTCAGGATATTCCATGATTCTGTGACCCAGAGCTGTGCTGGAGGGATTGACCCGCTCCAGTGTGGGGCATCTGCTCTGCCTTGGTCACAGACACCCCCAGGACTGACCCTGCCCTAAACCCTCTTTGCTCAGGCTGGGAAATCACGTCTCAACAAAGCCCAGCCCAAACCCTGCGGCCTCTTGGTTACTCATCCCTTGTCTGCAGTGTCCTTATTAATGAAGCAGATAAGGAAGCTCTGGGATGAAGAAGCTCCATAAATTTGTGCTATTATATTAATCTCATCTCCATCAGGGTGAAAACAATTGTGTAATGGGAGTTCTCCAGGCAGGCCCCAGATTTCCAGCTGACATTAATAGATGGATCCCCGGCCTCCAGTGCAAGATCTATTTAATCACTGAGGCGCTCGGAGCGACTCTGGTACAACATCTGCCCCAACTGCTCCTGTGTCACCATGGCAACCCCCCCAAAACAAAAGGAAATATTGAAGCACCAGCAAATGGCATCACCAACATCAGGGAAGAGCCTCTGGCTCTTGTGGGGTGGTTTAATTGTGGGGTTTAGTGCCAAGGCCATGAACCGTGGCGGGGTTAGAATGTTGAGAAGGTGCAAGAAAAGGCAGATGGGTGGAAATTGGGGCATCAGGGCTCTCCTGGGGGAACTGGGAATGCTGGTTTGCACCTGAATGTGGTGCTGCCACCTGAGAGCAAGAGCAAGAGCACATGGTTTGGTTTTGAGGAACAAAAGGCATTAAATTCAGTTGGGACTGGTTAATGTGTTGGAACTGGATGATCTGTTGGAACTGGATGATCTCTTGGAACTGCTTAATCTGGTGAAACTGGTTGATCTCTTGGGACTGGTTAATCTGTTGGAACTGGAAGATCTTTAAAGTCCCTTCCAGCCCAAACCACTCTATCATTCTATAAAATCCTCCCAACCCAAACTCCTCTGCAACAAACAACCCCATTCCTGGTGTTATGCTGTGAACTTCCTGCACAGGGAACAAAACTTTCCCTAACACATGAAATCTGCCCTAAATCCTCAGCAAAGACCCAATTCCCTGTGATAACTCAGGACATGGAGGCTCCAGCTGCTTTGTCACCTGTCACAGCAGCAAGGGCAGGATGGTCACCTGCTCCTCTTCCTCATGTCCCATGAACAACCATCCCCAGCAACACTTGATTTATTTGTGGGTGGGAAAACCATCCTCTTGGATGGCAAAGGAAAAAGCTTAGAGGGTGGTGGGGCACTGGAACAGGGGGGTTTGGTCGTGGTCCCAATTTGGACAATTCAATTTGGACAAAATTTGGATAATTCAGGGACATCAGGGTGGGGTTTTTGGGGTGTCCTGTGCAGGATGAGTTGGACTCCATGGTCCCTGTGGATCCCTTCCCACTCCATGATTCCATGATTCTCTGAAATCTCTCTGATGGGACTCAGCGCCTTGGGGAGAGGGGCAGAGCAAGGGACACTGAGGCACTTTGTGAGGAGGAATATGCGATAAAAAACTCATTATCCTCATTTTTGGGACCCCCCCTTTTCACCAGAGTGGCCCAACCAAGGAAGGCAGTGACCTCCCAGCACATGAGCTGCAAAATGACCCTGAGATGAGCCAGTTGGTCAGAGCTGGTGCTGGGAACACCAAGGTTGTGGGTTTGATCCACTCGTTTACGAGTTGGACTTGATGCTCCTTGTGGGTCCCTCCCAGCTCAGAATATTCCATGAAATTCTGTGAAATCCGTGTTTTTTGTGCCCCTCAAAACCCTGCCTGGGGGTCAACACCCACCAGAGCCTTGCAGACACAGCAGGGCTCTGCAGCTTCATCCTGATTTCCATTTCAATGCCATCCTGTTGGTATTAATAGAGAATAAATAGATTGGGAAGGAGCTTTTCTGCTGGAAGGCAAATCACGATTGACATGATTTCTTCCCTGCCAAGAAGTTGATTGATGGAGCTTTGACTGCAGCAGCTTCTTCAGCCTCACCTGGGAGATGAAGCCACGTGGAGGGAGATGAGCTGGAGGTACCCAAGCAGAGGATTGAGTGGGAGGAAGGATTTGTTTTGGGTTATCCCAAAAACCTGCCCTGGAAATGCTTTGGGGAGGCTTTGGCTCAAAACTGAGTGGAACTGCAGGAAAGCAAAGTGGCTTTTTGGGACCTGTGTCCTGGAGGCAACAAAGGATTGGCCAAAACCTCTCTGAAAACTCCTCAAAAAAACCCCTCAAAACCCCAAAATTCCAAGACATCTGGTTAAATGCATAGAAAAACATGGACAGTCCAACTGGTCTGCAAGGAAATGGGAGTTATTTGATGGACCCAGAGCTGAGAGAAGCAAAAAAAAAAGGTGGTTTTCTCCATTAATTGATGCTTTTCCACCCCCAAATAAGCAGGATGGCAACTCATCTGAGCTGTGGTGGCCACAAAACCACATTCCCTCCCTTTCCGTGGTTTGATTTTACATCAAAAGTTCTTTTCAAGGAGAGGTGAAAAACAAAAAGAAAAAAAAGGGAAAAAGTGGTTATTGAAATGTTGGGACAATCTTCTTTAGTGATACAATTATTACATAATTATCTAATATTGTAATATGAAATAATAACCTAATTATTTTCAGGATGTTTGTCCATTTCCATCGATCTCCAGGATTTTTACAGGCTGTAATTCCAACTCTTCCAAGCAGCCTTTCCATCACCCTTTTGAATTCCCTGTCTGGGAGAACTGTTGTTATTCTCGTTTTTAATCCTGATGGATTAAACCCAGAGCATCTCAAAGGGAATATTTCCAAGCTCAGCACTGATGGATTGAGAATTGCTTCCGAAAAATAGGATTTGGGGCTGATTTCCCCCCCAAACACCCCTAATTTGCTCCCTCCTGCCTCCCTGACCCTGTCCTTGCAATGCCAGCAAGGTTGGAGGAGTTTTTCCATCTCCCTTCCACCATGAGACAGAGTTGGAGCTGGTTAGGAAGGTCTCCAGGTGATGCTTTTGGGTTTATTTCACCCTCACAGCAATTTTTGGGGGGTTTTATCAACCACAAGGGCTCCTCCAGCTGCAAAGTGATTTAAATTTGTTAGAAAAGTGCTAAAAAATCCCTGGCAGGACCAAGGTTGGAAGTGTTGGAGCTTTCCTGGCTGGTTGCACTCAAGCCCTGGCTTTGCCTTCTGGAGGGCTCAGCCTGAGGTGTTTCTCCAAGGAAGGATTTCAACAGAAAACACACAATTCTTGTGGAAAATCCTTGTTTTCCTTTGTTTTCTTGCTTGAGTTGAACCATTGGGTTGAGTCTGAGCAGCAAACTCGGGTTTTTTGGTACCTTCTTGGGTTCCCTGCTCTGAACCCCGTGAGAAAACCCCCCCAAACCCCATCAAAACCCACTGACTGGGGGGGCTCAGCCAACACCAGACACTGGAAGGATGAGGAAGAGGAAGGAGACGAATCCTCCTGGGAATTTGATCCCAGTCCAACAAGGGGAAATGAGAAATGTGGAGGCAGAACCTGGGAGATCTTTGGCTTTTTCCATCCAGTTTCCAGCACCAAACAGGTTTTTGAGGAATAACTACCATGTGAATCAGCTGGATTTCCACCTGGATTAGGGTGATAAGTTTTGGGACAGAGAAAGAGCTGAGGGCATCACCTCCTATTTATATAATTCACATATTAATCCCTAAGTCTTTGCCACCCAAAAAATACAACACGGGGAGTATTTACAGAAAAATTAAAAGGCAAATCCCGTCATTCTGAGGCAGGAGAAGGGATGAAGGAGGAGCAGAGGCTGCAGTGACACACGTGGAGTGATGCAACATTCCTCCTCTTCCCAAAGCTTGACGTGGAGCAGGGAGGGAATAAAAAATCTGCCACGTTCTCACTTCATTTTCCCAGTGCTCCTGGCTCCTGAAAAACCGGATTTGCAGAGGGATAAATTCAATCTGCCACAGCACCACGGGAGCTTTGCTCACCCTGGATGACTGATGGTCCCAGGGAAGAGCCTCCGAGCCTGGTGGCATCTCAGATCCCTCATCCCACGCTGCTCCAGAGCTTTTATTTTTGGCTTTCCTTCTGGAATTCTTGGCGCTGGGATCTACAGGATTTTGTGCATGGGGAAAACGACCAAAGCTGTTGCTGCCAGATGGTGGGTTCTTGACAAATTGGTTGTGTCACTGAAGCTGTTTTTCAGCTAAAAGTCCATTATTGTTCCAATCAGGATTCAAATCTCCAGGGTAAAACACTGGGAATCCTCCACAACGGGATTATCTTGGTTGGGTTTCATGGCATGAGGGGCTCCCAGGATGAATTTAGGGGCTGTCAAAGTAGGACCCACACACAAGGACAACCTAAACCAGCCCCAAAAGCAACAATATTGGGGTTTTCCAGCTTTGATTTCCCCTTTTTCAGCCTTGATTTCCCCTTTTCCAGCCTTGATTTCCCTATTTCCCACCCTGCACTGGGATCCACCACAGAGCCAGGATTTTGTGTTGGGGGAGAATGACCAAAGCTGTCGCTGCCAGATGGTGGGTTCTGGATAAATTGGCCTTTATTGTGTCAGTGAAGCTGTTTCTCAGCTAAAAGTCAGTTATTGCCTCAGTCAGGAATTAAATCTCCAGGGTAAAACTGGGAATCCTCCATAATGGGATCATTGTGTTGCATGAGGGGCTTCCAGGGCGTATTTAGGGGCTGTCAAAGTACAAGCCACACACAGGAATGGCCCAAAGCAGCCCCAAAATCTGCAATATTGGGTTTTTCCAGCCCTGATTCCCCCTTTTCCAGCTCTGATTCCCCCTTTTCCAGCCCTGATTCCCCCTTTTCCAGCCCTGATTGCCCCTTTTCCCCCCGTGCAGGTACATGGCCATCATCCACCCTCTGCGCCCTCGGCTCTCGGCCTCGGCCACCAAGGTGGTCATCGGGGTCATCTGGCTCCTGGCATTCCTGCTGGCCTTCCCCCAGGGATATTATTCCATGATGGCAGAGCTGCCAGGACGACTGGTGTGTCTGGTGGAGTGGCCTGAGCCCGGGACACACGTGTATGGAAAAACGTGAGTGGGGCTGTTCCTGAGGGGGGGGAAATAAAGGAGGAAAAAAGGAGGGAAGGAAGGAAGGGAAGGAAGGAAAGAGGGAAAGGGAGGAAAGAAGGAGGGAAGGGAAGGTTTGGGAAGGGAAGGTTTGGGAAGATTTGGGGAGGGAAGGGAAGGGAAGGTTTGGGAAGGGGAGGGAAGGGAAGGGAAGGGTTGGGAAGATTTGGGAAGGTTTGGGAAGGGAAGGTTTGGGAAGGGAAAGGAAGGTTTGGGAAGGGAAGGTTTGGGAAGGTTTGGGAAGGGAAGTTTTGGGAAGGTTTGGGAAGTTTTGGGAAGGTTTGGGAAGTTTTGGGAAGGTTTGGGAAGGGAAGGTTTGGGAAGGTTTGGGAAGGGAAGGTTTGGGAAGGTTTGGGAAGGGAAGGTTTGGGAAGGGAAAGGAAGGGAAGGCTTGGGAAGGTTTGGGAAGAGCACATTAAGGTTAATTAGGATGAGTTTAACGCTCAGTTAAGCTGAGTTTAGTGCTCTTTTTTCCTGGTCCAAACACTGTCCCACACTCCCTGCTCTTCCTGGATGTCCATCCACTCTTCCAGGAAACTCCTGTACAACTGCAAGGATTCAATATTTTGGCTCTGGGAGCGGGGTCTGTGTTGCTCCAGGGGCTGGTCCATAAACACAGGCACAGCTCTGGTTTTTACAGCTCTAAAGGCTTCCTGGGGTGAGAGTTATTCCTGCCAGAGGGAAATATGGTTTTCCCAGGAGTCTCTTGGCCAGGCAATAACAGAAATAACCCTGGTTTGGGATGTCTCGAGTCCAAACACCCTGTACTTCACTCAGCAACTTAAACCAAGCTACAGAAAGGGGCTCTGTGGCCTCAGCCAGGCTGGGAGGCAAAGGCTGGGCCAGGAGGGCTCTGCAGGGGTCCTTCCTTCCCATTGAAGTGCTGCCTAATTAATCCTAATTAATCCTTGCCTTTCCAAAGGGTCCAGCAGCCCTGCTTTGGTCTTTGAAGCCCAGGGGGAGTTAAATGCCATGTGTGGAGGGAAGAAGAGAAAGTAGGGGAGAAAAAAGAGGAGGGAGGGGAGAAAAAAGGCATTTGTGATCTCCAGCCCTGTGGAGAGGGGAATTAGGGCTGGGAAATTCTGCTGGAGCCCAAGCAGGGACTCACAGACACATGGGGAAGTGTTGAAAGCCAAGCTGAGCCTGGCAAAGCCTCTCTGTGACACAAATGGGATGAGTTTGTCCATCAGCAGCTCACAAATTGCTGGTTGGTGTAATTTATATCCTTATTTATTTGCATTGTCTCTTTATGTTCTTATTTATTTGCATTGTGAGGCAGGTGAGGCTGGGCCTGGCCCAGCTGAGCTCCAGAGGGCTTTTCCAACCTTTATTCCTTGACAGTCCAATCAGTGCAAAGAAACACCCCCCAGGATGGGGCTGAGCCCCCCAAAATGAAACAGGAACTGAGACAGCTCAGGGTCTGATCATTTCACTGGGGCTGTTGCTTTTCCAGAGGGTTAATCCAAGGAAAAAATGCCTCCAAGCCAGAGCATCCCATGCTCCCAGGAAAGCTGGGGAAGCAGCTGCTCAGCAGAAGCTTGGAAGCAGCCAAACTCCCAAGAATTTGAGGATTGGAAGGAACTTGCAGCTCCGGCAGCATCGAACCTCCGGACCTTCCTGTGCAAAGCCCCAGAGCTTGAGAAGGGATTTTCCTGCCCCAAAATAACTGCAGGGACAGGTGTTTGGAGCACTGTGAGCCCTCCTCTCCTGCTCCATGGCCTTGGAAAGGTTATTTTGGGAAGGCAGCAGTGGCAGCTGCTTTGCTTGTGACGCCGTGATGAAAAATGACATCATTTTTTCAGCTTCTGAAGGAGAAAATCAGAGATTTCTCCTCACTCTCGGGGAATGGAGCCTGGAAAGTCCATCCTCAGGATGCAGAGGGTGTCAGAGGCTGGGATGGGATTTTTCACTGGGAAAATGTCCTCGTTGGGGGGGGGAACCTCAGCCCAAGGAGCGTCTGCAGCAGGAGCTGACAATTGCAGCGGGTTCGATTGTGCCATCGATCCCCTCTCTCTCTTTTGTTCCCAAATGGATGGCTGGTCTATTCCAATCTTAGCAGCTGCCACTTCTGCTTGTTAAGGGAAGGGAAATTCCCCCCCAGTCGCTGTTTCTGTGGAAGATCAGAGCCCACAGGGATATCCTTTACATGGCAACAGAGCTGGGCTTTGCGAGGCAGCTCCATCCTCTGGCATCCCAAAACTCCTCCAGGCTTCTCCATCCCACACAAGATCTTAAATCCCTTAAATCACAAATGCCAGGTTTGTATCAGAGTGCTCTGATCCTGCAATCCTTGCAGGCAGAACAACACTCAAGTAGTTCCACAGGGAGGCTGGTTTTCCACAGAAAAAAGTCTCCAAGGGCTCTTTGGGATCCCTGGCCGTGCCCAGGCAGCTCTGGAAAAAGGGTCTGTCTTGCTTTTGTTGTCTCCCAGCTCCTCTGAGGAGGAATTTCTGCAGAACTTGGAGCTGTTTGCAGCTGCTCTAAGATCCTGCCTTACATGGGAACTGCAACAAAACCCTCCTCGTGGAGCCACAGAGACGCCTCTTTAATTAGCAAAATGGAAAACAGCCCCACAAAATCCATCCCAAATGTGATTAGGGCTGGGGGAGGAGAAGGCCAAATGAGATTGCAGGTACAAAACAAGGAGGAGATGGCGTGGCCAGCCCCATTCCCTGTGGGAATTGCACCAGGCAGGAGCCTGATCCATTCATTTTAACTTTGGGGATATTATTCAATCAAATATAGGGAGGACAAGAGCTCAGGGTGGTCCAGGGCCTGAACGGCCTCCAAAAGATGCAGCACCTTCCATTCCAGCCCCAAAAATCAAAGTAAAGACCCTAAAGCTTATGAATGAAATTCCCTCTGAGCTGACAGTATTTGGGACAATTTCCAAGCTGGTGCCAGCCCTGTTTCTGTCCCACTAGGACTTGACTTCCCACAGGACAGAGAGGTTTCTGCAAGCTCTGGTGGTGGGAAGGAACCTGCAAGGTCAAAGTGTCCACCCTTGTCCTGTTTGGGAAAACCAGCATGATTTTATTCCTGTTTAACCCCCTTTATTTAACCTAAATCCTCACTGAATTCCCGCTGAATTCCCAGTGAACCTGCCACAGCTCCACCAACCCCCAACAGAACAGCCCCCAGCCTGTGGTGAGTTTAATCCAGAGTCTCTTGTTGGGGTTTGGATTTATTTATCCATGTTATAAACACACTCAAGGATCCTGCCCTTTCCTGGAGAGTTCTCCCAGCTGGAGAACTGGCCCAGCTGCTGAATTCACTGAAAAGTTTTAATAAACCTCCCTGACAAGAGTTTGGGTTTTCTGGGGAACTGGGGTTATTCTCAGTGCCACCTGAGCCTGGCTTAACCCCTGGTGGACCAGGATTTAGGTGAGCTGCATTCTATCCTGCAGGGAAAGCCTTCATTTCTTCAGCTTAATATTCCCATCTTTCAAATGCCCAAAACACACATTTGCTGGCAGGATTTCCAGCTGAAAGGTGGAAGAAGAGGCCACATCCATCTCTGGGATAATTTGGGGTGTAAAAAACTCCTCTCAGCTGCAGCATCCTTCCCTTGGGAAGCAGCACATCCCATTCCAGGAGGGTGCCAGGGGCTGGCAGGAGAGGACTGGAGAGGACTGGGATGAAAGTAGGGAACCTTCCCAGTCTGGGTTGAAAGTAGGAAGGCCTTTCCAGCCCGGGATAAAGCAAGGAGTCCTTTCCAGTCTAAAATAAAGTAGGAAATCCTTCCCAACCTGGGATAAATTAAGGAGTCCTTCTCAGCCTGGGATGAAAGCAGGGAGTCCTTCCCAATGCTGGGATGAAAGCAGGGAGTCCTTCCCAATGCTGGGATGAAAATAGGGAGTCCTTCCCAGGCTGGGGTGAAAGGAAGAAGCCCTTTACAGCCTGGGGCAAAGCAGGGAGCCCTTCCCAGCCTGAAGTACAAGGAGGGAGCCCTTCCTAGGCTGGGATAAAGCAGGGAGTCCTTCCCAGTCTGGGATAAAGTAGGGAGTCCTTCCAATGCTGGGATGAGAGCAGCAAGTCCTTTCCAGTCTGGGATAAAGTAGGGAGTCCTTCCCAGCCTGCAGTGAGAGCAGGGAGTCCTTCCCAGCCTGAGCTCAAAGGAGGGAGCTCTTCCCAGCCTGGGGAAAAGCAGGGAGACTTTCCCAGTCTGAGGTGGGAGCAGGGAGTCCTTCCCAGCCCAAGATCTACAGGAATTGTGCCAAATCCTCTTTGCCCAAGGGCCACACTTTGCCTTTGATCTCAGTGTGCAAGACAAGGACTGAGCAGGTGAAGGACCATCTCAAGGACCACTTTTTTTGGTAGGTACCACTTCTGCATGACCATCCTGATCTACTTCCTGCCCCTCCTGGTCATAGGCTGTGCCTACACCGTGGTGGGACTCACCCTCTGGGCCAGCGAGATCCCCGGGGACTCCTCCGACCGCTACCACGAGCAGGTCTCGGCCAAGCGGAAGGTGAGGAGCTCCAACCAGAACTCACGTCCAATCCCAGCTAATCCCAGCCCTAAATCCTTCATCAGGGGTGGGAACAGGTCAGGACTTGGAATATGCTCAGTGAAGGGACCCCCAAGGATCATGGATCCAACTTCTGGCCCTGCACAGACACCCCAAAATCCCACCCTGTCCCCGAGAGTGTTGTCCAAACCCTCCATGAGCTCTGGCAGCCTTGGGCCTGTGATCAAACCCTGGGGAGCCTGGGCAGTGCCCAACAACCCTCTGGGGGAAGAACCTTGTCCTGGGATCCAACCTGAGCCTGCCCTGACACAGCTCCAGCCATTCCCTGGGTGCTGTCCCTGGTCCCCCAGAGCAGAGCTCAGTCCCTGCCCCTCCTCTGCCCCTGCCCAGGCATTGGAACTGCAGTGAGGTCTCCCCTCAGTCTCCTCCAGCTGAACACACCAAGTGCCCTCAGCTGCTCCTCATAAGGCCCCTCCAGACCCTTCTCCATCCTCGTGGCCTCCTTTGGACACTCTCCAATGGCTTTAATATCATTTTTATATTGTGGTGCCTCAAAACTGCCCCCAGAACTGAGATGAGGCCACCCCAGCTCAGAGCAGACTTGTTGAAGATGAAACACAGTGTCCTCCAGATGTGTGCCCTCCACAGAAGTGGGTGGTTTAACCAAGATTTCCCCAGCTGGAAACGTCTCTAGGGCCAAAAGAGACAGGGTGGAATGACTGATGGGTGGCCCTGTCTCCCTTCCTCTGTCCCTGGCCCAGGTGGTGAAGATGATGATCATCGTGGTGTGCACCTTCGCGCTCTGCTGGCTGCCCTACCACATCTACTTCACCCTGCAGTACTTCCACCCCGAGTGGTACTTCCAGAAGTTCATCCAGCAGGTCTACCTGGCCATCATGTGGCTGGCCATGAGCTCCACCATGTACAACCCCATCATCTACTGCTGCCTCAACGACAGGTGGGTTTCTGTCGCTGTTGAGTCGAGACAAAGCGACACAGAATCATCTTCTTCCAAAGCAGGGACAGGATGGAAGGATGGAGGAGGAGGAGGAGGACCTTTATTGCAACAGGTTACAGACATTTATTCTCCTCACACAACATACGTGTTAACCTACAGTTGGTGCTCCTATATACACAAACTTCAGGATTGGCTGTCAAATAGCAAAGTCCTGGTGATGCAGCATCTGCTTGGTCATGATGACCTGGCTGGAGCCAAGTCACAGTGAGCTGCAGAAAGTCCAGGAATACGTTTTTGTAATTCCTGTCTTCCATCTTCTTACTTCCTTCTGACAGACCTGTTGTCAACCCTGACAGGTTTCCAGGGACGCCTTTGCTGGGACAGGGACAGGAGGAGTGGGAGATACAGAGGGGTCTGATGGAGAAGGGGAGGGAGGGAGGGATGGATGGATGGATGGATGGAGGCTTTTTTGGGATGATTCTGCCCCGTCCTCCACTAGGAGCTGCTTCCAGCAGATGCTGGAATGGTACAACCCTCACCTAAAGTCTTTCCTAAAGGCCTTGTGGGATTTGAGGTATCAAAACAGTCCTGACTAAACTTCCTTGTGAGGGGCAGAGGAGGGGCAGGCCCTGAGCTCTGCTCTGGGGGGACCAGGGACTGGCCTGGAGTTGTTCCAGGGCAGATTTACGTTGGATCTCAGGAAAAATTCTTCCCCAGAGGGTGGTTGGGCACTGCCCAGGCTCCCCAGGGTTTGGCCATGACCCCAAGGCTGCCAGAGCTCAAGGAGCATTTAGGCAACGCTCTCAGGGACAGGATGTGACTCTTGGGAATGGTCCTGTGCAGGGCCAGGATTTGGGTTGACGATCCTTGTGTGTCCTTCCAACTCAGCACATCCCGCGATTCTCTGAAATGGGGATTTATCAGTGGATTTCCCCCCTTTAGCTAAAAGCAGCATTTCTAGTCGTGTTCAGCAGTTCTCAGCTCTGTCTCCCCACTCCCAGCGAGGCCCCTTTGCCCTCCCCAGGCCCCTCCTCACCCCTGCTTTCCCCCCCAGGTTCCGCGTGGGCTTCAAACACGCGTTCCGGTGGTGCCCCCTGGTCAGCGCGGGCGAGTACGAGGGGCTGGAGCTGAAGTCAGCCCGGTACCTGCAGACCCAGAGCAGCGTCTACAAGGCCAGCAGGATGGAGACCACGGTGTCCCTGGCCGTGGGGATGGCGGAGGAGGAGCTGGAGGAGCCCTCCAAGGCCAAGCGTCTCTCCATAGACGTGACCTCCAACGGCTCCTCCCGCAGCGACTCCAAAACCGTCTCCGAGAGCCTCAGCTTCTACTCCAACACCCTCACCTGAGGAGCTCCCCGGCTCCATCGGCCGCTCCTGAGGTGCCACCACCCCCCTGCCCTCGCTGGGACGCTCCAGGGCTCCCCCCATGGCCCTGGTTTGTGATGTGCTGGTGTTTCCTGTGGTGTTTTGTCATCTCCCATCGCCGTCCCCGGGCGAGCCCAGGAGGGAAAGCTTTGGATGAGTTCCATGTGTTCCATCATGGCCTGTGTGGAGAAGGTGCAGGAATGGGACAGAGCTGGCTTGTCTTCCAAAACTGTGATTACAACTTGGCAGGAGCTTCCCGTGCTCTCAGCAAGGATCTCCCAGTGCATCCCATGCCTCTGGAAAATGAGCCTGTCCTGCACTTTCCCCCTTCCCACCTTTAATTTCGTTCTGCCTGTCACTCCCAGTTGGATATCCGGGGGGATATTTAGTTCCAAAATCCAGGAAAAATGTTGTTTTCGACATCGGGAGCCTGGACATCCACTGGGAATCATCATCCATTTGGAGCTTCAGTCAGATCCAGGATTTTCCACATGGTCTTGGCTCTTCTCCAGCACCCACGTGGATGGTCTCCTGCTGTGTCTCCATCCACAGCTCATCCAACAGGGCTCTCCCAAAGGATTCCTGACCTAAGCCAGGCTTTGGTTGCTCTTCATCAACCACATGTGCCAAAAACAATCACTGTGACTTCCTAGAAAGCCCAAGGTGACGCTCCTTGGACAGATCCTGGAATCCTGTGGAGGTCTGGAAAAGGAGAGACCACAATGAAATGTTTTTCACACCCTGGAAATGGATTTCATCAGAAAAATAAGGTTTGAAGGGAGATGAAGATTTTTCCAGACTCTTTTTATTCAGAGGAGGGTGAAATTATTTACTTCCACCTTCTGGATTTCATTTAATCAGGGAATTTCTTTTTTCTGTTGCAGAAAACATGAAGTTTATGATGTGTGCATGGATATATGGAATATTTTAGTCCTGCTCAGATGGATAATTTTCCCTGGGGCTGCTCAAGGGCTCCTTTGGTCATCAAATGGATAAACACACCCTCAGAGGGGGGAAAAAAGCAAATAAAATGAGATGTGGACAAATGTGGCTTGTTGGGGACAAACCCACAAGTTTGGGGGCAATCTGGTTGATGGTCCAATCCCTAATTTCTGGTGTAGAAATCAGGCTCCTAAATGGATTCACTGAAGGAATGAGAGATGAACAGTGGAGACACACATAGGGCAAGGAAAGGTTATTTTCAAGCAGCTGAACATCAGACCCTGCTGAGCAGCCAGAGATCTCTGGGAGTAAAAAAGGAATGAATTCTGGGGCTTTTCAACTCCTCAGGCTCCAAACTGGCTGTTGGAAGAGCCAGTCCTGGATAAATCCCAGCCCCGATGGCTCTTGGACATAAACACCCACATATTTAAGGAATTACTCCAGCAGAAATTCAATGAATGGGCAAATCCAGGACCAACAAAAGGGGATTGACAGGAATGATCATTTTTACCCCAAATCCTGCCAAGTGCCCTTAGAGGAAGAGCTCTTCCACCCTCTTCCCAACCACAATGTGCTCCAGACACACCCTGGAATACACTTTTCCTCCTTAAATTCTTAATTCTTGTCGCCTTAAGACACATTCCCGTGTCTCTGCCTCCCAGAATCCAGGATCCTGGAGAAGGGGAATGGCAGGAACCTGCCTGGGGGGTTGGTTTTCCAGAACTCCACCAGTCCCAGGGGCGGCAATTGAAGATTCCAAGGGTTTAACTCCAGGGATGGACAAGGAAACCTTTCCCACCCACTCCATAGGAGCCAATACCTGAGAAGGTGCTACCAAACCAGAGCCAAAATCTGATTTATTTCCAGCTGCCAACCCAAATTCACAATTTAATGACACCAAATATCTCCATGTGGTCCAGAAAGGTGAATAAAGCAAGGGGAGATTGGCTCAAAGTCCTCACAGGAGAGTTTGTGTCGGGTTTTGAGCCTCCAGAAGTCAGAATTTATGGAAAAAACCATGAATCTCTCTCTATATGTGTATATTTAGATATTTATAACCACACTGCCCTTTTGGCCTCTGTGTTTTATGCCCCAGGGATAATCTTTGAGATGATCATGAGATGGGCAAAGCAATGACAAGTGTCTTCTCATAGTCAAGGCTCAGCTTGAGATGTGGGATAACCCCAGGGAGCGAGGGGAGATTCAATTCAAACAGACAGTTTACAACCTGAAATGCTTCTTGGGCATCTTGTATCTCTTGAAATAAAGTGGGAAAAATTCCCACCTGTTGTAAATAGTGTTGATGATCCCAGTGGAGCCTGACCAGGATGATGGGAATGTGTCAGGGGATCGTCCAAGAGCTGGTGATCAATGTAAGAAAACCAAAATGTTGTGTGTCAATGGGTACAACACCCAAACCTGGTCTTCCTTTCTCCCCTCCAAGTGCCAAGTGATTTGCTGGGGGAGGCAGGAACAGGGAAAAGGATCTTTTCACATTTAGGATCTTGGCCATCCCAATATGGGATGTTTGGTCCATGTCCACTCATGTGACAAACATGGAATGGTTTGGGTTGGAAGGGACCTCACAGCCCATCCCATTCCACCCCCTGCCATGGGCAGGGACACCTTCCACTAGATCAGATTGCTCCAACCTGGCCTTGGACACTTTCAGGGATCCAGGGGCAGCCACAGCTTCTCTGGGAATTCCATTCCAGCCCCTTCCCACCCTCACAGGGAAGGATTCCTTCCCAATATCCCATCTAGCCCTGCCCTCTTGCAGTGGGAAGCCATTCCCTGTGTCCTGTCCCTCCATCCCTTGTCCCAAGTCCCTCTCCAGCTCTCCTGGAGCCCCTTTAGGCCCTGGAAGGGGCTCTCAGGTCTCCCTGGAGCCTTCTTTTCTTCAGGTGAACCCCCCCAGCTCTCCCAGCCTGGCTCCAACCCTTGGAACATCACCAGGCAACGTTTTCACCACCCTTGGGATGTTCTGTGCATGAAAAAAACCACAGAAAAGTTTTTTGAAGACTGAAAAGCCTAAAACAAGATGCCCCTTCCCAGCCATACAGTCTCTGCTCTGTTTCCACCTCTCCTCCTGAACCCATCAGCTCAGTCCAGAGGCTTTTCCTGCTTTATTGAGCCCCTGCCCCTGGTTAGTTGACAGACCTCTGGTTTGAAATTCAACTGCAAAGCCAGAGAGTTTCTTTGGCTCTTTCCTGGCACTTCCAAATGCAGAACAGCAGCGTCTGGAGAGACTCAGGGCTGCCCAGACTCCTCTGCCATCCCCTCCCTGGAGCCCAAGATAACTCCCATCCTTCACCAGGGGAGCTGTTGAGCCCAGTTCCAACAGACTCCAAGCCAAAACCACTCTAAACCCCAAATTCCAGCCTAAGGCCACCTAAGTCATTGATTATAAGCTCAGCCTTGCATCCTGGCATTGCTCTTCCCTCTTATCAGGAACACAGAGCAGCAAATCCCCATCCCCAGCTCAGCTGCTCCAAAACACAACATTTCCAGCCCATTTCAGGTGTAACCTTTTATCCCCCACCAGCAAAACCCAACCAACAGCCTGTTTAGGTGTTTGGTCAGAGAAATCTGGCAGCTTTGGGACTGGAAGCCAAGCACAGATTCCCATTGTTTGGAATCAGCCACAGGATTGCCGGTGGATATAGGAAAAACCTGCCCCACCCACCTCTTTATTCTTATTTTTATTTTGCTGCCCCTCCCCATCTGCCAAGGGGGGATGGAAGTGGAGTATCCGTTGTTTACGGAGCTTTTCCACAGGGATGACACGGATTTTGGGTGTTTTTATCTTGCTGTGTCCTTGCCAGAGCTCTCCTGTGAGGTCACACAACCCCAAAGCCCAGCCCAGGAGCCCCTGGATTTTATTTGTTATTAAAATAATAATAATTTAAATAAACCCAACCTTTCGGCCTTCAGGAATTGATCCAAAGTGATTCCTTCAATCTGGGATTTGTCATAAATCTCCCATCCTGCCCCCCAAAAAAACTGTTTCCAGCTGAATAGTTAATCCAGCCCCAATAATGCAAAGTTTAACATGCAAATAGACCCTTTTGCTGTGCTTTATCCACCCAAAATCCCACCTCTGCTGGAAGAGAAATCACAGTCATGGATTAAACCCTCCAGGAGAGGGACAGGGAGACCCCAGAGCAGCTGAGGGGGAGGCACCACTCTGGGATGTCTCTACCCTTAAAATTTTCCATCCCAAAAGGGCTCCTCCTGATCCTGTACAACTTAAAATTTCCATCCCAAAAGGGCTCCCGTGCAACTTCAAATTTTCATCCCAAAAGAGATCCTCAGCAACTTCAAATTTCCATCTCAAAAGAGATCCTAATCCTGTGCAACTTAAAATTTCAGTCCCAAAGCAGGTCCTGAGCCTGTGCAGCTTAAAATTTCCATCCCAAAAGTGATCCTGGGCCTGTGCAATTCAAATTTCCATCCTAAAAGGACTCCTGATCCTATAAAGTGATACAGGAGGGTTGTGAGAGGACAGGATGGGCTGTGAGGTCCCTCAGGAGGTTGGAATTTGCTCTGTGGGGTCAGCTGGAAGGAGGTTTGGGGGGAATTTCTTCCCATTGTAGCATCTCCATGGAGAAAAAGGTCCCAAAATCTCTGTCTCTTGTCGGGTTTGTCCACGTGGATTTTCACAAATAAATGTTTCTCTGGTGAGACCTTGTTGTTGCCAGTGGTTAACTGGGGACAGGGGACAAGGGGGGGGTGGGAGGAGAAGGGGAAGGTGGAGGGGCTGAAATTAGGAAGGAAAGAAAGAGGTGGGGGGCAGAGGGTGGGTTAGGGGGGATCTTCGGGGTGAGGGGTTTGCTCTGGAATGTCACCAGTAAAGCAAGGAAAAGGACAACCCCCAAAATTCATCCACAAAGCTGGGACTGGGCTCAACGTCACTGGACTGGGCTCAGCGTCACTGGACTGGGCTCAGTGTCACTGGGCTGGGCTTAATGTCACTGAACTGGGTTTAACATCACTGGACTGGGCTCAATGTGACTGAACTGGGCTCAATGTGACTGGATTGGGCTCAGTGTCACTGGGTTGGGTTTAACATCACTGGACTGGGTTCAGTGTGACTGAACTGGACTCAGTGTCACTAGACTGGGCTCAATGTCACTGGGCTGAGTTCAGTGTCACTGGGCTGGGCTTAACATCAATGGACTGGGCTCAATGTGACAACTGGGCTCAGTGTCACTGGATTGAGCTCAGTGTCACTGGGCTGGGCTTAACACCAGTGGACTGGGCTCA